AACACACACACACACACACACACACACACACACACACACACACACACACACACACACACACACACACACACACATATATATATATATAAATATCGGTATAATATATAACAATTACTTTGTAATAATACAAAATGTGTTGCTATGATAAATTTGTTAAAACGGACAGGATAGAACGACAATGTTGGAAAACTAATTAGGAAAAAATCGTATTTTCTTTTACGCTACAACATGACGACGACAGAAGATTTAAAAAAGATATTCAAGAAGATCTTAAATATATTCGAAAGATTCAATATTATTAATAACAATACTGTTAACAACAAATTATTTTCTTATGATATTATATTCTTGCTCTTTTCCATACATTTTCCTTTTTCTTGATCGATCAATCTGAACATTTCATTACATTTTTGTTGCTATTATTTATATTTTAACAGAATAAATTTTAATTGTTAGCAACTATATGATTTGAGATCTTTAAATTTAGTTCCATAGGAAGATATTTTTGTGGAAATATTATTGAAGTACTTAATTATCTACATTTGAATTCTACTGAGTTTCAACAACTTTTCAGGCAACTTTTCAGATAACAAGTCAAACTTAGATAATGCTTAAATATAAATTTGTCAACAAATTATTATCAAGAATGATAAGTCACAAAAATGATAAGAAGAAATAAGCTATGTGAGTGTATATATAAGCTGCATTCTGTACATAAGATGAATTATTGAATCTTAAGATTCGTTGATGTTTATACTGTGTTGGTAAATTTCAAGAGATCGACATAATGTACAACGTAGAGAATAAAACAGTGATGATCACTGGAGCAGCTCGCGGATTGGGCTATAAGTATGCCGAAATATTACTTCGTAATGGTGCAAAATATGTTGCCATGGTCGACTTGCCAACATCAAACGGACAGAATGCAGCGGCGACATTGGAAAAGGAATTCGGGAAGGATCGTGCTGTCTTTTACGCCTGCGACGTGACGAAGGCAGAAGATTTGGAAAAAGTATTCAAGAAGACCGTTGATACATTTAAGGGGCTCGATATTATTATTAACAACGCTGGTATGGTGAACGATAAACGCTGGGAGGAAATGATCGATCTCAATGTCAACGCACTGATACGTGGCTCGTTCTTGGCAATGGATTACATGGGAAAACATAATGGTGGCAAAGGCGGTGTAATCGTGAATATCTCATCTACAGTCGGATTATCCCCAAATTATTTTTTACCGATATATTCCGCTTCGAAACACGCTGTTGTTGGATTTAGTCAGTCTCTAGCAGATTTGTACGACAAGACTGGTGTACGAGTAGTTATCATATGTCCAGGCGTTACATTAACAGAATTGGTTGCAAACATTTCAAATAAAATACATGACTCTATCGACAATATGTTAGGCAATGTTGATGATTTACTTAAGGATTTTCCGAAACAGTCAACCGACCACGTAGCACTTGCAATGTTAGATCTTATTCAAAAGGGTAAAAACGGAGCTGTTTGGATCAGTGAAGGTGGTGAGCCATCTTACGCCGTAGATTTTATTCATTATTCCAAACGGTCTTTACCCGTATAAAATTATATT